ACACGGCCAAACAGCTTAATTACAGGTAGGGTTTGACATAACCCTAAACTACAGCTAACTTTAAAAAGAGGCGAAAGCTTCCAGATTGGGAACCACTGAGCTACATACCTCACAGATATGTAAAATACCTCAAAGGAGAAACGTATGAGTCCAAGGCTGTTACATGCAAAGCCAGACTATGCAGTGTTACATCCTAACTAAGCCACTATGTATTATCTAATACTTCTAGGAATCCTCTAAAATCTACTGGGTTTTTTCTAGATAAGTTGATGCTGACAGTATTATTTCAAGGTAGAAGTGTTTAAAATGTTGGGCTACTAAGTAGTTCCCAAACTTGGGTAACTCAGATGTTTAAAACATAGGTCTTTTGCATATTATTCATCCTTTTCTGCCTCTAATCCAGTGGTTCCTAACCTTGGGCCCCCAGATATTCTTAGACTGCAACTCCCAGAAACCTTCACCACCAGCTGTGTTGGCAGGGGTTTCTGGGAGCTGCAGTCCAAGAACACCTGAGTTACCCAAGATTGGGAACCACCGATCTATATCAATGGGACATAACAAGATGTGACTGATTTAAATCCCACTGATTTCAGCATATTGACACTAATTACAGCTCCCTGATCAGAATTAACTGGCACTTTACACTTGCATAAGTGAAATGGCTGAAGATACGACAACAAATTGCCACTAATAACTGGCTCCCAGTTGCATTCTGGAGTATGACTGCATGCATGTCCAGGAACAGAACCAAAACCTCATTAATTACCATCAATTTGGCACTGTGACTCACATATTTACATATTTCACTTACAGAAATGTATACTACCTACCACTGTGACTCACATATTTACATACTGTATTTCACTTACAGAAATGTATACTACCTACTGGAGCCTGAGTATTGTTAAAAACAATTGCTCCAATTCAGAAAGATTTTGCTAGTGCAGTCCCCAGGTATTTGTTTCCCTGCAGAATTTAGCTGAGGGTCAAATCTGGCATGTAGGACCTCTGCAGAAGATATGGCACAAAACATGCAATTAGGAATCAAGTGCCACTAGTATATGCACTTGAAAAGAAGACCTATCCACAACAAATTACCAGTAGTATATGACTAATTACATTGTTTTAGTTCCTGCCTATTTAGAGGGTGCTTCAGCATGGTTTTGGTTATACATGGATTTTTGTTTAAATAAATAAATACTGTACCCCTGGCCACCCAGAACCCCATGAGTTCAACACTGAAGGCACCAAAGTGGTCTACTTGCTCCCAAACACATCTGTCATTCTTCCTCTAGATCAGGGGGTCATAAGGTCCTGTAAGGCTCATTAACAAATGGTACTGTAAGGAGAGGATTGTCAACATTATGGAAGAGAGCTCCAATAGAGAGAAACCTCTCTCTTACTCACTCACTCACTCTGTGTGTGTATGTGTGTGTGTGTGAACTCTCTCTTACTCACTCACTGTGTGTGTGTGTGTGTGTGTGTGTGTCTGTGTGTAAAATTTTTTGTGCTTTGTAGTTACGTTTGGGGGGCAAAAGTGTTATATAAAAAATTCCACTATATGGGGGTGTGGCACCTGTAACCCCAGTGTTGTTGATGGGAGAAGTGTATTTACAGTACTATAGGGCACGTTGATCCTTACATGACCAGGAGCTATCTAATTCATTTCGAAAGCAAAAACACTGACTGCATTGTACAATGCTTCCTAAGATGGAAGCAGGGAAGCTGCTGGTTAGAACTACATGTGAACTGAAATCCTAGTGCATGTAACAGAAGAGCTGGAATGAAGCAGTTGCATATAATCTCTCTCTGCAAGCTGCATAAGTGTGTATTGTTGCTATATGAGTTTTTTACCTTTAGTTTTTTGGTTGTTGGTGACATCTATAGAAATAATACTCCCAGATGTTAGTACATTTTGAAAGTTCTGATCTCCTTATTGGGAAGAAATAACTCATCACAAGGGAGTATCTGTAGTGTAGCCACAAGAAATTTTAAGAGTGATAATAAAAAACTACTAAAGTTACATTCTGAAGTCTCATGATTTCACACTCTAAGGATTTCTGAAGGCTCACTTGTGCCCATTTGAGGCTAGAAACAGCAAGGTCTATTATAACTTATCTGCAAAAAAAAATTGGTATCAGAAGACAAGCCTATGTTATTTAATATTTCTGAATTATTTTGTGAAAACATAATATAGCACAGGAATATGACTCACATGGAGGAAAAAACTATAGCTACATTTTGAAGAAATATCTTATGTTAAAGCTTTGCAATAAACATTAATATTTAATTAATCTAATATAATTTCAGTCCATTGTTATGCGCAGTCAAGTCACTTCCAAATGATGGCAACCCTAATAATGTTTTCAGAGTATGTAATATGTTCGAATAGTGCTTTATCATTGTTCTAGTGAGTTTGCATGGCCAAGTGAGGATCTGAACCAGGTCTCCGGAGGCATAATCCATCACTTTATCTATTGTATCTTGATCTAGTTTAGATCAATTATCATCTTCAAATCCAATCCAACTCTCAGATAAAAACAGATAAATGGCTGGAAGTGCCATGTATCTGTAAAGTAAAGGTTGTCTTCCTCATTGATGATACACACTCTATACACATTTCACCAGCCAGTGTAAATTATCACATCAGTTGTAGTCCTCTTTTTATAATGCCCATTCCAAACTTCTCACCAAACCTCTGAAAACTTGCAATAACAGCATGGTAGCCAGTCCTTACCAAGTTCATTCTTCAACTTCTCCAAATACCCAAAACATACATAATATGTATTACTGGAGCATACTGAAGCCCCACCTGCACTTTTTGGTGACACAATACAGTGTCAATATGCTGTTGTCAACAGAGCAGTTGATGTTAAACTGCATACATACTGCAAAGCAGAAATGCCCAAATGGGTAGGTGCATTAGTCTGTTGCAACAATAAAAACAAGTCTTGTGACAACTTCAGAATTAACAAGTTTGGTTTGGCATAAGTTTTCATGGATAGGCGCATCTGAAGAAAGAGGTTACAGTCCACAGCAGCTTACACCAAATAAAAATTGTTCAAGATGTCAGAAGATTTTTGTTGATTCCCCAAGTAGGTAGGTTTGCATGACCTTTGTCCTCATATACATATATGACAGAGGGTAGCCTACAAACCCTTCTGCACACAGCAAAATGAACAAAGTACAATATTAAAAAGTTTCCTTTTTTTCAAAGCATGTTTACATTAAAATGCACACTTTTAATCAAGTTACACAATGACTTATTCAAGTTTCTTCCCTTCACACTAAAAAAAGAACTGGTGTTGGCCATACCAGCCTATGGAAACAGAAAATTAATGCTCTGTGCATCAGACTGTAACTCCAATTTGCAGTGATGATAGCAACCACAGAACTGGGGAGTGTGTCTATGCCAACTACTATAAGCTTTGCAAGACCCACTTTCACGAACATAAATTAGAACCACATTTTACTTCTGCATAAATGACAAAGAAGGTCAAAAGTTATTAGATAACTGAGACCATAACCCTAAACCTAAACTAGGGAGAAAAATACACTGGGCACAGGCATAGGCTTTCACTGCAGCTACAAGCTTGCACACATTCATTTATGGCTGGAAAACGTTTAAGTGATGGCTTGCACATGTGGCACCATCACCTATCAGACACAAGGCAGGGAGTTTCTACACCACCCCAACAAGATACAGGCGGGTCACAGGTACCTCTGCCCAGCAGGGAGTGGAAAGCAAGTCTGGGTGCCAGTGCCACCCGACAACGTGGTTAGTCCAAGGGAGACCCTCTCGATTTCAGTCTGGCTCCCCTTCTTCCATCAGCCCTGATGCCAGTAAGAACGAAAGTGTTGACGTCTGCCTTGGTGGCTGATTGCTCACCATCAATCACCCCGGAATGAAATTGGGCGATCCTGAATCTAACAGGCCTTGCGAATCTCCCCC